CAACAATTCTCGTCATGCACTGGAAATTGTAGCTGTATTGTATTGTATTGTATTGTAGATGTCTATAGGTATCATTGTTGGTGGACCCAACCAGGAGTCTCGTGGCCTATCAGTGAAGGTATGATGTCATAGTGGGTGGGACAGACCAGGAGTCTCCTGGCTTATCAGTGAAGGTATGATGTGATAGTGGGTGGGAGAAAGGAGTCCCTAGCCTGACAATCAAGGTGTGATGTCATGGTGGGTGGGACAGACCAGAATTCTCCTGGCCAGTCTATCAAGATAGGCATTGAGAGTGGGCAGGACAGAGCAGAGTTAGAATTGAACTACATTGGGGAAGTTACATGACTGGTACTCCGGGGAAGGAGAGGGCACAGTGGCCATCGGCCTCACTTACAGGATGTTGTCTACACTGAGCCCTGGAAATGCTGCATTGCATTACAGATTGAGCAGTGACTGAGGCGTTGATTGGAAAAGGAATCCTCTGGTAAAGATGGGAACGGACTTTTACAATACTGATGATACATTTCTGTCCGGAGTTCAGCTTGTAACTAAATATATTATATGTCAGTCTAATACCCTCCCTTCTTATCTCTTTCATAGCGGGAGAGGAGAACCTGTCACGGAGCTCAGCTATCACTCATGTCGCCAACTCATGTACCAGTCAGTGGCCACAATCCTGGCCCACGCCGGCTTTGACAGCGCCAACGAAAGCGTCCTGGAGACCATCACAGACATCGCTCATGAATACTGCCTGAAATTCACCAAGATGCTGAGGTACAACGTGGACCGCGAGGCCAGACTGGGCCAGACTCCTTTCTCTGATGTCATGGAGCAGGTCTTCCACGAGATGGGGATCGGCAGCGTGTTGTCTCTTCAGAAATTCTGGCAGCACCACATTAAAGATTACCACACGTACACGTTACAGGTGGGAGCTTTGTTCAGGATCTGTGTAATACAAAAGTCTATAGTTATAAGTGGAATCTATTGGGCTAGTTCCCCTGCTGGCATTTAATGTCTCTTGGTGATTCCAGTTGCTGTTTTGGTTCCCTCTCACCTTGGAATTTTGGGTGTTTTCTCTCACCTTAGTGTGCTCCGACTTCTACACCTCTGTGGTAACAAATAACAAAACAAAAAATGCTTAACCAGTAGTTGTAGCTGGCCCCGCAGTACTTCTTTTCCCCCACTAGCATTGTATGATGGCCAGCATCATACTTCCTCTGAGCCCAGGCTGTCAAGGACCCACTCCAGAAGCAGCAGCTTCGGCTTAGGAAGACAGGACCCCTGATGTCACCTGACTGGCTAGAAGACCCTTAAAAAAAAATGCATAATACTTTTTTACAAATATGGGAAAGGGGATTGTAAAATACCGGACCAGTTTTTCCCAACTTTTTTTTACTTGTTTACCCCTTGGCAGTCCATTGTATGAATTGTATCCTAAGTAGGGGCCAGGCTAATGGTGAACCATGTAGCGCGCTGCATGGTCAGTGCGACCAAATTTCACAAACAATAGGAGGGGCTCAAATGCCACTGCTGTTGGTGTCTATGGAATGAAGGAGGGAGACTGGAGTAGAGGGGCTTTTGGGGTATGCCATATTGTTGTGGAGTGTTATCTTGGGGCCTCTGGGGTGCGGCATGTGATACTGAATTCCCTGGTTCTAGGGCTTCTGCGTTTGGGGGTGCTGTGGGTTGGAGTGCTAGGCATCCCTTCATGATGTGTATCTGGGCCATGGAGGATCTGGGTCTGGTGGCTCACATGTATATTGCAGTTCAGGGGGGCTTCAGCTCCATTTTCAGTGCTCTATGGAGAGTGTAGTGGAAGGGATTGGTGCTGCACAGTGGAACGGGTCTCATCTGCTGTAGGCAGATTAATGGTCTGGTGGCCAGTGAGACTGTGAGGTGAGATGGGTTGAACAGATTCCGGTGCAACCCAGAATGTATAATCTCTGTCCTTTTTATGTCAGAAGACAGAACTGGCTCTTAAGAGAAGCGGAGGTCACATCACTCAGCTGAGGACTGGCAGCCAGAACTATAGAATGAGTGTCAGAAAATATAGCCACAGGATTACTCTGCAAACCTTCAGCACACAATTTAGTCCCCCAACTCCCCACTGCAACAGTCTTTTTTCACTATTACAAAAATATTTTCAAGTACCCCTGGGGTTGGAAACAGCTGTACTAGACATATGCTTTAAAAGCCCACCTGTGGCATCCTCTCATGATGGTTGTCACAGACATGCAGTGCTTGTTGTTATTATTATTATTATACAGGATTTATACAGCCCCAAAAGTTTGCGCAGCGCTTTACAATATAAGGAATACATTACAATCACAATACAATCCAAGACAAGATGGTAATGAAGGCCCTGCCCGTGAGGGCTTACAATCTAAAAGGGAGGGGTCATGGATACGTGAGGAGGTAGTTATGGTGGGATAGGCTTCCCTGAAGAGATGAGTCGTAAGGGATCGCCTAAAGGCAGTCAGTGTGGGAGATAGACGGACAGGTTGGGGTAGAGAGTTCCATAGGATGGGAGAGACTCTAGTGAAGTCCTGGAGGCGAGCATGGCAGGAGTTGACGAGGGAGCTGGAAAGCAGGAAGTCTAGTGAAGAGTGGAGGGCACGGTTAGGGCGATACTTTGAGACCAGGTTTGAGATATAGCCAGGGGCAGAGTTGCGCTAAGATTTTCCCCCCAAGGAGCCAATCATTTGATCTGCAGTGCTCATCTGCTAACAAGGAACATGCTAATAGGAGGAGAGAGCAGACTGACATAGAGATGAGTTCATCACTGTGCTGCTTCTCCTTTCATGGCTCGTTTACATGCAAAAACAGATCATTGTAGTGTGCAGGCTGATGTGAATGAGCCATCACTTGCCTGTCAATATGAAACAACAAAGCATAAGTCCAAGGTCACAGGGCAGCAACACAGGCACAGCAGGGAACAGGTAGCCAGATCACAGGGTCGCAATATCGCACAGCACAGGGCTTAAATGACTTACACTTTAGGCGTCTGACACACCCTTGGCAAAGGAAGATCCGTGCAGGATGGTCAGCAGAGGGAGGGCTGGCAGAACACTTCCAGGGTGAGATCGCTGGGTCCAGATAGAGTTAAGGGTCCTGTTTGCTGCGGTTGTAGCTCCAGGTCCACACATGCAGCAAATCCCACACTCTACAACTAAGCTTTATGTGGAAGTGAAACGTGTTAGTGGCAGGAGCCTCAGCAGGTCATGTTTTCAACTCCGGCTTCAATAAAGATCTTGCTAATGGAATTGTTTTCATATGTCACCTCTCCGTGCCGGCAGGTCACTAAGCAGCTGTCTGAGGAGTACGAGAAGCTCATCCATCCTGAGCGTGTATCTGAAGACACCAAACCAGTGAAGATCAAAGAGGAACCTGTTACAGACATCACATTCCCTATCAACGAGGAGCTGGAAGGAGACCTGGCACCCGGGGATCAGTCTCTGCCAGTGGGGGTCCTGGGGGCTCAGAGTGACAGGTTCTCTTCCAACATGGAGGTCGATTCATCTCCACAGCCATCAGGTAAGAAACACATTTCTCCGCACTTATACTTGAAGCATCTTTCCCTCCCTTTCTGTGTCTGCAAGAGTGCCATCCTCCACCAGCAAGATAACCCCGGCAAGTATAGGATCCATTGAAAGGCCGTCTGTTAATTAAAGGGGATGCGAAGTTCATATATTATCTCATATATGGCCCCTCCCACAGCTCTGCTCTCTGCACGGACTATGTGCAGCATAGTGATGATGACGCCACTATTACGAGGTATTATCTCAGGCTACAAAGGCATTTGATGTACAGTAAATGGATTCCTATGATTTGTGGGTATCAAGGAATTTATTAAAATGCAAGCTTTTGTGCCCAGAGTTCAGCTTTAACCCTTTCACTGCCACTAACCTATGGCGGCAGCAGCATGTACGCAAACCGCGGATTTTGTTTACATTTGCTCAGGTGACTGTCAGCCTGATTGCATCCACGAGTCCTGTAACGGCATCTCAGTCCAGGAAGCAGGTGGTGACCCTGGTTGAGTCGTGAACAAAGATGGTGTCGTTCTTCTGTAGAGAAGAGCAGATGGAGGTATTGTCAGGGGAGTACTGTGCTCTCTGTGAATGGTAATATATACCTGGAAGTGTTACATTTACACAGTAGTTGGCACACCGCACTTATTAAAGCATGCAGCATAAGAGAAGAAAGTCAGAAGTCCTTGTCTGCATATTTCCTGGAAAGCAGTGACTCTGAGTATTGATATAAGAGGGTCAGCATGACCACCAGGTAGCCGGTGTTTTCAGGAGAGCTCAGCTATTCCTCCTTTTAAGTTTTGATCATAACAAGTTCCCTTTACAGCTACATTTTGCTCTGCTTACATTTTGCTGTCCCGCCTCATCAACATTCCAATGGGATTTTTACATAACCTTCCCTTTTTATTAGATACATTATTTTAGCCCTAGTGATGTCATCACTGGGTTTCCTTCCTTCTCTATGCGATGCAGGCGGATCATGGCTGGTGGGAGAGGCCGGCAGGGTGCTATACACCATGCTGTGCAATGCGTGATGACATAGCTGCTTGTAGCCTCTACTAGGGACGCATGTAAGGGTGACAGCAGGGGCACAACTGGGAGACAGTTGCCACCCTATAACAGAAAGTGTTTGAGCAAGGACCCTCGTGGCAGGATCACCAGGGCTTTTTTTTTTTCAATATGCCTTCCCTGGTTTCTTTCTTCCCCTCTACCCAATTAACATCATAATGAAATTTTTACTGAAGTCTTCCTGTTTTCATTGCATGCCAGTGACATCATGGGGTTTGTGTGCCATGCAGACAGATTATGACTGGTGGGTGGGGCCAGCAGGGTGCTGTACATAGCTTTCTGAAAACATCACAGCACCCTACCTCAGTATTTCTCTCAAGAGCACTCTGCTTTGATGCAAGCAGTGGGCTGGTCCTTGGGGAAGAATTTCCACGGGTGGGGGGAAGGGGGTCATGTAATTATCAAATGCCTTGATGCGTGGATCTCAGTCTAGGCCAGGTGTGGGCAACCTTGGCACTCTTGCTGTGCAGAAACTTCAAATGCCATCAGGCTGTCAGAGTCTTGCAATGCCTCATAGGACTTGTAGTTTCACCACAGCTGGAGTGTCAAGGTTGCTACCTCTGGTCTAGGCATTCCTAGGCAGGCTGCATTTGCATGCAGACCACCCTAGTTAACACTCACATGTGATGCTGAGCCTCCATCATTGAAAGGACTAAAATCCAATGAATGAAAAGGGTGGTCCAAGGCTGGGGAGGAAAGGGCTAGTTAGTGCCGGACACCCTCTAGCCAAGAAATGAGGCGGGCTCTGTCTGACTTGCTGCAGCTTCTAATGCACATGAAGAGAAGCTTACAGTCTGCAGTAAAATCAGAGGAAGCCATTTCAGTCCAGGAGGGGAGCCAGTACAACCTTAGAGTAAGGCCGGAGTCCAGCTTTACATTAAATTGCTCCGGAGCGTACCTTTTAATACATCAGCAAGGTGTTTATCATTCCCCCACAACCATTAGGCACATTAAACATGAAGAGCCACCTCAGTAATGCGCCACGAGCACAAAGCGTGCCATTACACTGAAATGGTGCTTTGCAGACGACGCTCATTTCCCGGCTGAAGTGGATTGTCGTTGAAATCAATTTGCTTTTCAATCAGCTCGTGGAATGTTTTTTTTTTCTTTGCTGTTTTCAGAATATTCCTCATTTGAATTCCAATAGACTAATGGACGGGGCGAGTAAACACAGGAAGGTCCTTTCCAGCTGATCATTGATTGCAGTAAAAGTCCTTTTCTTTTTTTGCCTTCAATAGATTTGATTTGTCAGTCCAACGTGGCCGCTGTTACTGATTTATATCGCCGTGGAGCGCCATTGTTCACCACTTAATGCTTGTACTGCAGCTCCGCGGTTAGCACTTCCACCTTGCCTCACTGGGGCCTTTGGTTCGAATAGCGGCCAGGACACTATCAGCATGGAGTTTGCATGTTCTTCCTGTGCTCGTGTGTGTTTCCTTAGGGCGGTCATTCTCAACCAGTGTGTCGTCTGAGGATACCAGGGGTGGCACGGTACAATTGGAACAAAATATCCCAAAAACGTATTATAGCCTGCACTAGAGAGGCACCAGCAAGGGACTAGGGCTGCAGCTAATGATTATTTTCATAATCGATTAGTTAGCCGATTATTAACTTCGATTAGTTGTATTCAATTAAAAAAATATATATCTCCTCTCTCTCTCCCTCCTCTCTCTCTCTCCGATTAGTTGTTGCAGCCCTACAAGGCACCAATATTGGAAGAGGTGGCGTGAATGACCATGTGACAGCGGATTTAGGAAAGTTAAATAAGGGGTTTGACACTTTAAAAAATAAAAAAATAAAGTATACATATGTAAACCAAGAACAAAAATGCAATCTGTTGCAGCTTACCAGTCTTTAGATGTGGTGGTAGTATTGTTTTTCTTCTTCCAGATGCAAGTACAGAAAATACCTGTTGGCCCTACCAGAAATCCAGTGTCCTTGTATTGTTATATTATCAACCTTCCTAGTTCTAGTCTGTGGACTACACAACAGCTCCCCATATGTTGAGAAGTGGGGTGTGTGTTTTGTAATGCTATCACATTTCCTGTCCTAGCCTCACATACTAAGTTGCCATCTTTCCTTTTCTCAGGATCGGACGTGAACACCTCGCCGTTGTGGAACTTGGGGCAGGTGAAGATGGAGCCTCAGGACAACGAGGAATCGGCCGTACACGGGCACAGCGTTCTGGGTAATGACGTGTTTGAAGAGCCCATGTCGGGGATCAGTGACTCGGCCATACCAGGCAGTCCGAACGGGTCCGAAGGCAGCTATGCGTCTCACTCACCCGACAGCCTAATGGGGTCCTCCCCCGTCTTCAACCAACGGCCTAAGAAGAAGATGAAGAAATTGTAATGAGGGGAAATTGGGGCAGATCCCGCTGAACATTCTTCATCACTGTTATTATGGGGGCTGTCAGCTGACCGTTTTTCTGATATTGTACAATGCGATCGCTTTTGTAAAACAAACTTTTTGGTGAATAATTAAATATTTTTCTTTTTTTTTTCACAAAGTTGTTTTTCCTAAAATATTTAAAGCCGATCTCTGGGCAAATATCAACCTCCCGTCTGCACATTTAATCTTCTTACCTTGTGAAGAAAGATATACTCACCTAAGTTCACCACCCGTGTCCCTCACTGGTGGTGTTTCCAGGGTGCGGGTGACCACTATTCCAGTGCTGTGAATTTGCCCACGCCAGCCAATCCTGTGTATTGACATCACTGCTTCAGACTCCTTCTGGATCCTGAGAGGGCCTCACAGCTGGGCAGCCAAGAGGAAGTGTCCACGTCATGGAGGCTGTGACATGGACACCGAAAGAAGGACCCCAAATCCTGTAAAGTGGAGAGGAGAAAAGGACTGTAGCGTCATGTGACCACAGCTTTAGGTGAGTAAAAAGGCATTTTAGGATGTATACATTGAAATGTGTTCATCGAAGAGCATGAAGGGGTAGACGGGTGTGATGGTTAGGCACGCTGTCCCTGTTTTTCTCTTCAGGGCAATGTGACAGAGCCTCTTTATAGTAGACCTTAACTCAAGGAAAGATTTGCTTTGTTATCTGAAACATCTAGAAATGTTCACTGTGCCTAAGCAGAACCCTGAAAAAATGACCCTTTGTCTTTAAAAATAACATTGCACTTCCTAGTAGGTAAGTGAGGCTAGGCCCTCCTGTTCTATATCCTCATAGCTGTATATCTTCAATGTGCGATCATCTAAGGCACTGCTGCCTCTGACAGCTACTTTCACTAGATTTGGAGTGAGATTTGTCACTACTGTGCTGCTCACTGTTCTCCTTGCTGGATATGAAGCTGTACCTGAGGAGCTGCAGTGCAAGGATCTCCCTGCTTCTGCTTCATTCATTCTGTTGGTCTGTGCTTCCTCTCCTGCTACCTGTCAGGCTAGGTGCAGATAGCGGGTAACAGTTCAAATGTGCAGATTATGCGAAGAGTTCAATAAACAAGAGCACATACCATGAGCAGGTCTAAGCAGAGCAGGCCAGCTAGTACTTGTAGTGCACCGCTGCAGATGTAGGTAGAGGCTGGCTGGTGCTTGTGGTTCACCGCTGCAGATGTAGCAGGAGCAGGTCGGGACAGCCAAGTAGTAGTGCTGAGTCATTCACAGGTAGATCAGAGTCCATTCGGTACCGAATCAGAAGTGAGGGTCAAAACTAGCCGGGTCATACACGATATATACAGTATACAGAGCAGAAATCAGCTGGGTCAAGCAGGAGCACACAAGGTAACAACGCTATCGCGAGCGCTGGCGGGGTGCTGACACAGGTGATTTAAAAGTGAGCTGGCCAATCACCATTGTTTCCCAGGCAAGAGCTGTTTTAGGTGAGTTTTGCTGAGTCTTGAAGGGACAGCCCGAATCCTAGTACCGACACTACCTCCTGATCATTACCCCACCCGTCATCAGACCACCAGTCATCGGGGTGGGGGGCAGCTCGGACATAAGGAAGCAAAGTCCTGCGCCCCTACCAAAATTCCCAACACCGTGAAGAGGTACAGTGCAGAATAATGAGTGGTAAGTCAGTAATGGGAAAAGCGATCATCTGCAGATACACTACAGGCAATACCAAGGGCTAATTTTTTGTTTATTGCTTTCATTTTTCTTTGCACAGGTTACACAGTTCAGGTCCTCTTTACAGCCCACTTATACTCCCCTTCACCATGCTAACCGGCTACTACTGTCAAAGCGGCCATGAAATACTGGGTCCTTTGGGGTATGATGGAGCATGTGACCCCCAACCATGATGCAGTACTTGAGCCAAGTGGCCAATTGCCAGGCCCAAACAGTGTCACATGAATGAGGACATTATCACCTCTGTGTAAGCTCGGTACAACACTGACTCCTAGCTGACAGGGCAGCAGGGGAACGCCATGAAGTTTAGTATAGAAGGGTCAAGGGTTGGGCTTCATAGACACTCTGTTGCATCGCCCTAATAGAGCCTCTTCAAACAATGAGGGAACTTTTAGTGAAACTCGCCTCCTTTAAAACCTAACTGAACTTTCGGTTTAAATCAGCGAAATGCATTTCAGATGCAGCAAAACTAAAAGATGTGCAAAATCTTACAATTCGTTTTCTTTAGAAAGAAGCCACAAACCTCAGCAGAAAAGCCTGTCCCCTGCCAGCATGGTGCAGAGAAGGACCCTTGCTTTGCATGTTTTTTCAGCCCCTTGTGCACTTGATTCACTTTTTTTGACATGAACTTTTCACTGAAGGTCTCATCTGCTTATCTGCTTTCATCTTATGTTTCGTTTGAATTGCCAAAGTTTGTGTCAGGTTTATTTTGGATCCCAATTGCAGCTGTCCCTAACCCTTATTTGCCTCCCACCATGTAATGGTGCGCCATCATCCTCTGCAGCATTCTTTTGTGGGCTCACGGTGACCTTATGACATGCTCCAAGAGAGTGGGTCCTTGACACCCTGGGCACACAGGAAGGGGATGGGATGATGCTGGTAGTGCTGGGACAGTGTCCTGTAGCACCCACAGCAAAAAGGCCCCGCCCTCCCCATGTGGTATGAACAACTACTGCAGCGGAGGTTGCAGGTGAGAGAGGAAGAGCGCAGCACAGCACAGCACAGCTCTCCCCTCTCACTGTCTACAGTCTACACGGAGCGGCAGTGAGAGACTCGGCGGAGGACGGAACCAGAGGAGAGAGGCAAGTGCAGGGGGGAGGGGAGGAGGCTGCACACTGTTTATATGTGATCTCGGCGACATCGCTGTAAATGAAAAATCGGCTGCTTAACTACATTTAGTCGTCCTTGTACAAAGCAGGACTGAATGTAGAGAGGGCAAGTTCCCCACAAGGACACCGCTGCCGCCCCGAGGCTGGGCCTCGGTGGCCTTGTGGGGAATCGTGGCCTGGGCACTGAATCCTATAGTGGTGAGTCTACAGTCCAGTGTTCAAACACTTTAACAACAGCTGCTCTTGAACATTTAACGAATTCTGCTGTTTTGCTGATACTCGCTCCATGGCTCCGAGCGCCAACAATCATCCCACGTTCAAAGGCTGTTAAATTGCGTTGTTTACCCGTATCTGCAGAAAAACAACCTGCTTCCCTATTTATAATGGTCTGGCCCTCTAGCAACATCACCCCGAAACTATAGCTAATTTGCCTACAAACGTCAGGTGGTCATAATAATCTGGCCACACACACACTCACACTCACTCTCTCTCTCTCTCACACACAAAGGCTGTGATAAGTATTCTGTAGTGAAGGACCCTTGCTCTGTGTGGAAGCAGTGGTCTCTCCACAGAGGTCCACCCACTGAGGCTGTGCAGTGGGGTAAAAGTAGATTGGGTGCTTGACAGCCGCTCATATACAGCTTAGCTCCACCCACAGACTGGGGCTGTATAGTGAAAAGAAGGAGATTGGGTGATTGACAGCGTCTCGCCTGCAGCTTAGCCCCACCCATAAACCAGAGCTGTGCAGTGGGGAAAAGGAGATTGGGTGATTGACAGCGGCTCATCTGCGGCTCAGCTGCACCCACAGACCAGGGTCATGCAGTGGGGAAAAGAAGGAGATTGATCATGTGACCTGGAAAAAAAAAGAAGGTATTTCTGCCAATTAGAATGCTGTGATTTAAGGATGGACTATTTTGTGTCCTCTTTAAAGCCCATTGCACAGCTTCAGTTTGGGGCTAAACCTCAGGTGAGCCACTGTAAATCACCCGATATTTTTCTTTTCACTATACAGCCCCAGTCTGTGGGTGGGGCTAAGCTGCATAAGAGCCGCTGTCAATCACCCAATCTCCTTTTACCCCACTGCACAGCCTCAGTGAGTGGGCCTCTGCACAGAGACCACTGCTTCCACACAGAGCAGGGGTCCTTCTCTACAGAATGCTTTGCACACCCATACACGACTAGATTTCCTCTGAACGAGGGATCCTTGATCCCCTTGGATGCTAAACTGCGTGGAGGTAACAATCTCAAAATTCGGCCCATTCAGCGTGATTCGGCCAAAATTGGAGCCGTCTGTGGCCAGCATTAGTCTTGCCAACCTTTATGAGGGACGACCTTTATGAGGGACGTAGATGGGTCTCCATACACTTTAATTTGTGTGATCTACACGTATGGCAGAGCAGTATGAAAGACACAGCACTGCGGGCTGTAACGAGTCTTTGTGCGGTGATGAATGGCGCGGATACATGACCAGGCTCTGTCTACCCCGGTGCAGCGGCCTCTGGTAACCAAGATTGGGTAATTAGCATTCGGAAGCCGACTGTTCCCAATTAATCATCTCATTCACACCTAGTCGTTAGCGGCCGGGGGCCTTGTCACACCTGCTGGGGTTGCATCAGAATCCCACATCTTAGCCGTGACGAGGGAGCATGATCTGTGTATTATGACAACCATAAGGGGGGTTAAAGGGTCTCTCTACTCCAAATGCCTCAAATTAAAGTAGATGGAAGGCACCTCCGGCCGAACCGCCCATATGGTACCTAATAGATTAGTTTTGCCCTCTCCTATGTCTATTACTTGAAGTCTACGTTTACCTTTCTGACCATGTTTCATGTTACACTCGTATCTACATCAGATCGGTCAGACCGCAAGACGATTCTGTAATAATACATTATTAAATGCATTTTTTTCTTTTATATGCAAGCAGGGTAAGTATTCAAGTTCAAGTAAGTATCAGCCTCTTGCAGTCCCTGCACAGCGGAGCTCAGACAGAGATATAAACATTTGCAACTACCACCATTTTATTCTATAGGGTCTTGGCATTCAGAAAATATATAATGTTTGGGGGTTTTAAGTCATTTTCAGGCCTAAAATGTGGACTATAACATGGGTGCAAAAAATGAAAAAAAGGCCTCGGTCATGAAGGGGTTAAAACTGGATAACTGAGGACATCTTGTGGTGGACTAGCAGTACTGCGGGGATAGTGCGGAGATGTAGGTGAGTATTGAAGCATTATATTTTCGCGGGCGATTCATTTTA